TTCCAGTCCCAAGAAGTCACATTAATTCTTATGCTATTTTAAGAATTTAGAATCCAAGACAATGAGAGTGTCTACCCTATCCAAAGGATATCATCAAATATTCAGTCATGGCAGGAAATGTCTATCTGTATGCTATTTATCTATGGATTAAAAAAAAAAAAAAAAAAAAAAACCTGTTGCCAGAGAGAGTCAGTTCTGACTCATGGCTACTCCTTATGTGTCAGAGTACGCTGTGCTTCATAGGGTTTTCAATAGTCCCTGGATGGCAAAAGCAGTTAAAGGCTCATCTACCAGCTGAAAGACTGGCAGTTCAAAGCCAATTAAAGAAGCCTCAGAAGACGAGCCCGGTGACCTGCTTCAAAAGGTCAAAAAGGCCTTGAAAACCCTATGAAGCAATTCTACTCTACACACATGAGCTCACCATGAGTAGGGGTCAACTTGATGGCAACTAACAATAACAGTCTTACAGAAGTAGATCACCAGGTATTTCTTCCATGGTGCTGCTGGATGGATTTGAACTGTCAACCTTTCAATTAGTAGCCAAGCCCAAACCATTTGTGCCACCCAGGGTTATATGGATACCTTACTATAAAACTAATCTGGTTTTTAAGATTTGGGAGAAAACGGTTCCAAATGGATTGGAATTAAGGAGGTCTGGTGATGCAGTGGTTGAAGCATTTGGCTCAAACTCATCAACTGCTCAGGGGGAGGAAGATGAGGCAATCTATTTCCATAAAGATTTACAACTTAGAAATTGATGGGGCAGCTCTACTCTGTCCTACAGAGTTGCTATGAGTCAGAATCGACTGAATGGCAGTGGGTTTGGTTTTGGTTTTTTAACTGGGAACCAAAAAAAAAAAAAAAATCCACTCTCATCGAGTGATTCTAACTGGTAGTGACCCCCACTGGGTTTCTGAAGCAGTACATCTTCATAGAAGTAGATAACCCCGTCTTCCTTCTGTGGAGCGGCTGGTGGGTAGTGGGAAGGAGTCTAAAATTTACCCATCACCTCCTCCCATGCCCACTTTCCCTCCGTACTGTTCTCTTTTCCTCCCTGCTTCTCTATGCAGCTCCTTCGTCTTCTGGTCCAAAACATCAGAGAATGCATGCTGCCCAATGTCAGACCACGTGACATTATCTTCCTGCAGAAAAAGGGTCCCATAATTCCAAAAGCTCTCTAAACTAAATGTCTGAGAGAACTGATCTTAGACCAAGTACTATTTAATGCTTAAAAGTCCTCTGATCTTTTAGAAGTCACCCAGCTTCTCTGAGATTTATCGTTATTTGTTAATTTTATTTATTTATTTTTTAAGGCAGGAGGTGAGAGAGAATGATACTGCCAGATGTACTAATTTTCTGGACAGTCATGGAAGTTAAACTTGCAATAGTGGTGAAGCTTTTCAGAACATAGATGTATCCAGTTAAAACATTAGGAACAGGATTGGGTTATGGTGTGGAGAGAGGGTGGAATGTTTAAGCCTAGTTAATGTTGGGGCTACTTTTCAAGTTGCCAGATGAGTAAGTGCCAAAGTCAGTGAGATGCATGCAAAATGGGCTGAGGGGAGAGAAAGCTATCAAAGGCATCTGCTCCTTAAAATGGTTTCTCTTGTTCTGTAGATTAACATCACCGTAGGAGTATCCTTGAATTTCATTGACTGGAGCTGAATGTTTTGTTTTAAGCACTTTGCTTAACAGGGTGTGGAAATTTAAGTGCCAACATTCAAGTTGGAAGTTAACACCCTGGAAAGATGAACAGAAGAATACTACCCAACTTCAGGCTCTAAAACAAAACCTATCACTGATTTTCTTGCATCTAGAATTTCTTTCACAGCCCCGACTGTACAGGCCTTTATCACACTTCTTTAGCCTTTTCTCTGGAACTAAAAATATAGAGTCTAAGGTCACAGCTACCTAAGATGAAGGCAAATTCTCAATGTGAGGTTTCTCTTGATCTACTTTTCAAGTTCACTACCATTGCCCTGATGGGACCCCAGCAAGGCAGAATCCTAACATTTATTCCTGGCCTGGAATTCTTTCCCTTGAGGGGTTACCCATCCATCTTTTAACTTAAGACTCTTATCTGAACCTAGATTCTCTTTTACCTTAATGAATCAGAAATATCTTTCATTCTGCAAACCCTATCGTTTTGTAAAGACTAAACCAAAATGATGAAAAATCCAGCTATTCCCCCAAAGTTCAGATGTCAAACCAAAGCACATCTGGTTGTACTCTGGGAAGCTATTCCTACTTATTTCTGCTTCAGACTTGAAAATAAATTTTCTTATCTCTATTGATATAAAACCAATAGCAAAGAATGATGGTATTTAGGTACCAGTGTAGGAGCTCTGGTAGTGTAGTGCCTAAGGCACTTAACTGCTAACTAGAAGCCTGGCGGTTCAAATCCACCAGCCACTCCTTGGAAGGAAGGTTGAGCAACCTACTTCTATAGTAATACTGCCTTGGAAACCCAAGGGGGGTCGCTATGAGTTGGGCTTGACTCTACGGCAAATAACAACAACAACATAAGGATTTTCAAGGCTGTGACCTTTTGGAAGCAAATTGCAGATTGCTTTCTTCTGAAGCACCTCTGGTTGGAATTGAACCCCAACCTTTCAGCTAGTAGTTGAGATTTTAACCACTTGCACTATCTAAGGACCCTCAAGATGATCAATAGAATTAATGCTAAATTAAGCAATAAATGTGTTTTAACACTATTCTGCTCTCCCCCTTTCTTTCCCAACTCTGCCATTAATTCCCTCAGAACATTCACAACTCCCTCAGAACAATCAGCATGAGGCTTGGTCCCTTCCAGTCCGAACTTGTCATCTTACCCCACCTGACCTTGGCTAACTGCCCATCCACCAAACCACTCCCACTGAGTGGATTCTGAGTCATACTAACCATATATAGGTAAGAGTATAGATGCCTCATAGAATTTCCAAGGTTATAGATCTTTACGGAGCAGATCAGCTCAACTTTCTCCTGAGATGCTACTGGTGAGTTCAAACCACTGAACTTTTGGTTAGCAGCCAAATGCTATAGCCACTGTGCCACCAGAGCTCCTAGCTAATTGTCCAGATTTCTGTTATATCAGAATTACTTGTTTACTTCCTCACCCCCCTTTACCTTATGTTTGACCTTAAGCAATTTACCAAATAGTTCTTCCTAACTGTGATCTCTTGAATGTGGTTTAAAACTAACCTGAAATAATCCATCTGCCTTGGTGGAGATTGAAGATATCCAGCCTAGAAGCAAAGTACTGAAGTCAGTGACCTCTGAAGTCTCCTTCTGGTTCTAGTGTCAAAAGAAAAAACAACCACTCTGCCCTTAAAACACTATAAATGCAGGTCATGTGGCCCAATGACAACTAATCTGACAAAAAGAAAAAAAAAATAGCTCTTTTTTTTTAGACTCTAAGGCAATATTTACAACCAATACATCAATTAGGTTTCTTTCATTCTACTAGAATGCCAGCAGAGACCATCCTTGCACTTAATTACTATATAATTTATACCTACTCCTTGTTTTTTTTTTAATAGAAAAATACCGATAAGTAAAGTAAAGAAAAGGGCTAGAAATCACCCATAATTCTATGTTGCATCGATAATCATTGTTAACACTTTAGTGTATATTCTTCTAGTATGTTTAATTTTTTAAGACCAAGAAGAAAGAACTCTTTGGAGTCAAGTTTCGCATGAAAGGGAATGCTGTGTGTCTAGAGCTTGGGCTGGGACATCTGAGAAGAGATGTAAAGCACATCTGTTTTCCCTAGATGGGAAGAGTCCAAATAAGCCATAAACAATGTGAGGCATGGGGTCAAGAACAGTTTATCTTCCCTTTTATTTAATTTAGTGTCAAGACGAGGGTGTCTAAGTTCAACAGAGATAAGTTAAATTCTAAGTGGGCTGAGGTATTCTTTATTTGCTGGATAATGAAGATACCCTTTACGTTACATTGGTGGGCTTGGAAACCAAGTGCTGGAATGGACCCTAAAGGTCACCGAGTCTAAACTCTTCTCCTGGGAAAACTCCATCTGAAGTGCTCAGCAGCACTGGTATGCTGGCAATCTAAAGTGCTGTGAAAATGAAAATTCCATCAGGTCTCTTATTTCCTTTTGAAATTACTCTTATGTCTCAATAAGTGTTCATTTAAACTATGTAAGCCTGTTTCCTCATTTATGCCTTCTGTGGAGATGACTAATGAGAGCCATTATTATGAAGCTAGTAAGTCATTCCTCAGTTTCTCTTCACAGGCTATTAGATTGAACCACGTAAAATGGCCAATATTAAACCATTTCTGACCTACAAAAATAGCAATTTTGCGTGGTTCAACCAACAACACCAATTCCCCTTAACTTCTTTCAGAGGTTCTTGTTTCTGGTCTTTTGACAACTTGGGTGCTTTTCTTTGTTTTTGTTTTTCCCCCTCAGGATCTTCTCTGCTGTCCCCCTATTTTTCTTAGAATAAATATGGTGATCCAAATACGCACACTAATGCCAGAATAATTGTTTATATTATAGAGGCCTGCTGTGGACACAGTTAACCATTTCTACCTCAGAAAAGTTGTTCACATGGACTGTTTATGGTGACAGAAAATTGGGCAAAGGATACTGGTGGTGATTGCACAATATGATTAATGTAATTGGTGTCCCTAAATTGTACATTTAAAAATTGTTATATATATTTTTATCACAATTTAAAATTTTTTTAATGTTGCCCCAAAACATATATAGTCTACACATATATGTTATATATATTCTTTCATATGTCATATATTTCATAATTTTTTAAATTAGAGAAAAATTAATGAGAGAAAACCCAGTTTAACACTTAGATCCATGAGCGCAGGGCTAGGAGTGATATGGAAAAGAAAAGATACTATCAAAGAAGTAAAAATTATGAAATTCCCCTGACCAACTGTATTGTTTTCTACTACTTTAATATTTCATGACCAAAAGATCTGATATGCTTATTTTTTTTTTCTTTTCTTCTCACTTTTAGCTCAGCCATAAATTCCCAGCAACAGTGCACATGGCACATCAAAAACCCAGACCTGCCCTGGAGAAGGTCGCTCCACTTAAAAGGATCTACATTATTCAGCAGCCTCGAAAATGTTAAGCCAGGACATAAAACACAGCCGCCTGGCCAACTGCCTCAAACGTCTGACAGCTTAGCAGAAAGAACCAAAATTTCCACAGGCCTTAGTGCACTCACTTGGTAATTAAAACAGCTTTTGTATCATCTCTATTGACTGTAGATAATAAAGCATCCATAATTATGAATTCTTTGCATTTCAGTGCCTCTTTTTGGCCTGGGTCAGGATCCCACTGTACTTCTGTGGAATAAGCAGAGAATCTAAACTCCCTAACTATTCCACTCCACCTTCCTAGATAAGCTCTTTCCTTAATGCTCACCCCAAGCGGTTCTATCCTTATTGAGTTCTCCTTGAAGGCAAAGGTTAAAGAGAGGTACATTGAGCTTTGTCAAGGCCAATATTCTATGCAAACATAAGCAATGACTCTCCCCAATGTGTTTGTCTTAAGATGCTCCAGTTTTCACTTGAGGTGAAATGTCTCTTCCAATTCCTCATATAAATACATCATTTGTTCTAAAGGTTTGTTGTTGTTAGGTGCCATCAAGTTGGTTTCGATTCATAGTGACTCTCTGTCAATAGAACGAAATAGTGGTCAGTCCTGCATCATCCTTGCAATCGTTGCCATGCTTGAGTCCATCGTCTCAGCCACTGTGTCAGTCCATGTCATTGAGGAGTGGGGACAAATTAAAAATAAAATTTATTACAAACTTATTCTCTTCTGCAAAGCAATCAAGGCAGAAGTCAGAATTATAATTTCAGTAGGAGGTCTGCTCAGGGCCTCCCAGAAAGTTAATGTTCTGGAACTGAGGGGGTCTTGATGCCACAGGGCATTGTGGATGGGGTGTAGACACTGATTTTAATTGGAAGCAGGGGTGGAAGGAAAAGTGTTCCCATGACTAAACCTGCTCTAGCTCCCCTGCCCCCACTACAAACAAATACAATATGTACTTACTTATGAAGAACCAGAGTCATTCTCAGGTGAGGATGAAGGAAAACCAACCACATTCTTTCCCCACAGAAGTCAGATGTCACTCAGAGTTCCACCATTCTGCACCTTTCATTGATAATGCTAGCTGACATGCAGAACTTCTATTTATCCAAGGAAAGGTTCAGCACTTTGGTACATCAGTTTTACAGATTACCAGCTCTTAGAGTGTGACCTAGTACTAAGTCTGTCTCTAATTCCTGGAAATCCAAAGGCACATGGCTAAGGTCTCATGACCAAGAGGATTGCATCCCAAATTATTTGAGACAATACCAGCCCTCAGGCAATGTCACACAACTCAGTAAGAGTTAACCCTAACCCACCTCATTTTGGCTGAACTCAGTACCCAGTACTCTGGGCTAGGGTCAAAAATATCCCAGAAAGAAAAGTGTGGCAGGACAAATGCACAGACATTCAAGGTCAGTCACCATTTCCCCAGGAAACATTAAACCCGAACCAAACCCAGTGCTGTTGAGACAATTCCAACTCATAGTAACCCTATAGGAGAGAGTCAAACTGCCCCCATTGGGCTTCCAAGGCCAAAAATCTTTATGGAAGCAGACTGCTTCATCTTTCTCCTGTGGAGCTGCTGGTAAGTTCAAACCTCCGACCTTTTGGTTAGCAGCCAAATGGTTTAAACACTGTGCCACCAGAGCCCCTTCAGGGGACATTAGCCAAGTTAAACTGGATGGTGGGTGCTAGCAGGAACACTGGACTAAGATTTAGAAGACTGGGGCACTACTTCTGACTCTTCTTGCTAGCTACTGGGCAGTCACCTCTGACTCATGGAGACACCGTATACTATAAAATAAAATGTTATTCTGTCTTGCAGCAACTTCATGATGTAGGTATGCTCAAGTTCATAGTTGCAGCCCCTATGCATATTGAGAGCCTTCCAACACAGGGGCCTCAACTTCCAGAACTATATCAGACAACATTCTGTTGTGATCTGAAGGATTTCATTGGCTAATTGTCAGAAGTAGGCCACCAAGCCTTTCTCCTTAGTCTAGAAAACATCTTAGTCTAGAAGCTGTGCTGAAACTTGTCCACCATGCATGACCCTGCTGGCATTTGAAATACCAGTAACATAACTTTCAGCGTCACAGCAACACACAAGCCACCGCAGTGAAATAAGCTGACAGTTGGTAGACTTCTGACTCTTACTAGTTCTGAAATCTTCAGCAAGCCACTCAGACTTTCTGATCCTTGTCAAATGGGTGAAATAACATCTGACACCCTCCCCCAACCTATGAATCCTCCTAGTGATGCATACTGGCAAGAAAATAAAATGACCTCTGAGATTTGTAATAAGCCATTTGAAGAGGAGTAGTAAGAGCCAGCAGTACAAGGATATCTGTCCTAGAAGCTGCCAAAACTACAGTTGTAGGAAGGGAACTATAAGAGATGATATAAACAATACTACTCTGTCAGTAGGAGGAATGAAGTCTTGATACTTGCTACAATATAGATGGAGATGGAAGACATACTGAGTTAAATAAGTGCATCACAAAAGGACTAATATTGTACAAATTCACTTACATAAAAAGATATGAGAAGGCAAATGTATAGAGACCAAAATTTATTAGTGTTACCAGGGGTGAGAGTGAGGGGGGAAAAAGGGGGATTAAGAGTGATGGAAAATTTTCATTGATTAAGGGTTGGGGTGCACAGCTGATTGTAATTTCTGTCAATAAGCTTTTATACCTATAAAAAGTTGAACTGGCAAAAGCTGTTTGATATATTTACAATGATGACCAAAAAAAAAAAGTAGCTGCTGAGACAGCTTATAACAACCAAAAACTTCATGGGATTTGTATTCTTGGTTTGGAGGTTTAGAGTCATTGTTCCATGGGACATCCCAGTTAATTAGCCTATTAGTACGTTTTGTGCTTCTGTTCTAACTCCTAGTCCATTGCATAGTTCCTGGGGTCTTAAAGCTTATAAGCAGCCTCTAAGGCACAACAAGTGGTCTCTATTTGCCTGGAACAAGAGAGGAAGAAGAGTTGAGAATAGGAGAATATGGATTGTGTGGCTAATTGCCTCCATGAACAACTGCCTCTTTTGCCATAAGACCAGAAGAACTGGATGGTGCCTGGCTACCGTTACTGAACGTTTTAATCAAAGAATTCATAGAAGAGTTATGATCAAAAGGGGACGGTGCCTGGCTACCGTTACTGAACGTTTTAATCAAAGAATTCATAGAAGAGTTATGATCAAAAGGGGGAAAATGTAGAACATAACTTCAAATTCTCATAGAATCCAGACTTCCTAGAGCCATGAGCATTGGATGTACCACTGAAACTATTGCACTGAAGTAATCTTTAAACCTTAAACCAGAACTATCCCCTGAAGTCTTCTTAAAATCAAACAACAGTTTATCTTAACTGGTAAATAATGAGCATCATGTTCTTTTAACAACTATCTATGTGGGATCAAACTGACAATAGCAGCTTGAAAGATTAGATAGGAACTTTAGAGGGCAGTGAGTTTATGTCAAAAGAGGAGAAACAACTCAGAAAGGAGAGTGAGAATGGTTGTAGATCTTGAAGAATGTAATCACAATGTCACTAAATGGTACATGTAGAAACTGTTGAATTGGTGTATGTTTTGCTGTGTATGTTCTCAATAACAACAAAATAAATAAAATGTTAAAAAAAAAAAAAAAAGATAGCGATGGTATAAGCTAAGCCTAAAATAGCAAATTCAGGGAAAAGCTGAAGATTCAGCACTGGATAGAGGCAGTGAGAAACTGTGGTGGAAGTGAAGATGGAGACACTGCTGGATTGGCCTCTCTTCAGGGTAGTATGAGGCCCAGCCACCCAAAGGAAGTGAAAAGAGAAGAGCTGTACTGTCTGTCTATAGACTGGGATGTACTGGGCTGGAGATGGGGGCGGGTTTAGAAACTGCTAATAGGGAGCTCTGGTAGCATAGTGGCTAAGGCACTTGACTGCTAACCAGAAGGCTGGCGGTTCAAACCCACCAGCCACTCCTCGGAAGGAAGGTTGGGCAATCCTACTTCCGTAGTGATACTGCCTTGGAAACCCAAGGAGGGGTCGCTATGAGTCAGGGCTGACTCAACGGCACATAACAACAACAACAACAAAAGGGAGATAATGCAGTGAGAACTTCTGAGCATTAATTTGGGCTCAAAACTGCAGTAACTTTAATCACCAAATCACAGGAAATAAGATGCTTGGTATGAGCTTCTGCTCTGAAAGGAGACTAGATTTATCTCAGAGAATGTATCAGAAGAAAACAACCAGGACCAATAGGACAACTTTGTGGTGATATGGCTATAGCTACAGAAGGCTAAAAAAGGCTGCTTACTCTCCATACTGAGGAATAAACCCTGCATGGATGTGCAACGGCTCCACTTAGTTAGAAATCCCTGTGATAGGCCTAGCAGATGCCATGACAATGTGTGTGTGCATTGGGGTGGCGGGATGGAGCTACAGGTGCATAGCTGAGGATTTACTGTCAGATATTTTTCTTTAGCTCAGTTCACTTCAGTTCAATAGACTCTGTGCTAGGCACAGGGACATGCAGATGAGTGAGATACTGTCCCAGCCCTCCAAGATCTCTTAGACTGAAGGGATATAGACATGCCAACTGATCAACAGAAAGAGAATGTTTAGAAATGGTTTGGTGGGAGGTGGAGAGTGGAGAGGAAGGGATATACTGGGAGGAGGCTCAAGAAATTACCTGAGGGTCATGTTCAGTCAAAAAAATGTTAGATGTGGAGTTTAATAATGCATATGCAGATCCTTTAATAAACAGACTTTAAGCTTTGTATTAGGAAAATTTTTTAACACACATGCAAATTGAGTTCATATTATATTGAATCCTCATGTACCCATCATCCAGTTTCAGCAATGTAGTCAATATTGTTTTTATCTATACCATCCAGCCCTTTCTCCTCAACCTCCTTTCCATCTTCCTCCCATCTTTCTGGATTATTTTAAAGCAAATTCCAAGCATCATATAGTTTTATCTGAAAATACTTCAGCTTATTATCTATAAAAGATGGGTGCTCCTGAGCTCTCATACTCTCTCCTTCTATCTCCCTTTTGCTCTCTGAAAACTGAATTTTGTACAAATATTGTGGCACAAAAGGGAGTATTTATACAAAGCATCTAAAAACTTTTCACCTGAAAAGGGAGACTGGCATTACTATGCTAACCACAAGATGCAGTTACA